CTGTTGTAGTAACTTTTGAACTCGCTGCAAACCTTCGCATATCCTCGCCGGAACACTAGTACTTCAATCCAAGCATATCATACAAGTAGTAATGTCGGCGGTTGTATTTGTATCCAATAAACACGTACATCCTACTTGAGCCGTACAAACGAGACCGGAGACCGAAAAGTAGGCGTGTTAGAAGTTTATCTCGCGTTACGTTAAGAGCAGTCGGTACTTACACGAAAAAAGCTAAACGTAGTAGTTGTACCATCTAAAGACTGGCATAGCCTCGCACTCTATACATGTGTAAATCCTGGGGTGACGCCCCCCCCAAATAATGGGATTTTCTCATCTTCAGGGTTCGCAGGGTATGCATGATGTACTTTACGGGAGCAATATCATTGCTTCAGCACCCGATCCATACTAATAATATATATACACACCCGGAACAAGTAATTCTTATAAGTTGAACTTTAAAAGTTACCGGTATTTGATAATGTACGTATCAAAATTGTAAATTATCACAAACTAACAACAGCGGTACCATTGCAGCACATAAGTATTCTGTCGTTTGCTGAAAATTATATAATACGCATGCCACTGCGCCGATTGTTTTGGTCGTACAATGACACTGCACATGCGAGTGTTGGTGTTTTACTTATTTCATCGTGGGAATATTACGTAATATGCTGTGCAAAAGTAACCTTTTTCATACTTTACAATACACCCTAAACCAGCTTGGTAATCAACCTACGGTATAATAATATTTTGCGCACATTGCATCATTTATTGAATGATAATAAAACTGGTAGATTTATAGTTTCAAAAACTTTATTTTCATAGCCGAAATTATTTACGCGTGGCGGTTGTATAAAGTACTAGGAAAGTGCTGGATCACAACGTCGCCTTCCAGTTCCAATACTGGTCTGCATATAAACGCATTCATATACACTAGGCGGACCCACCATGCAATAATTTCCTAGGCGGACCCACCATGCAATAATTTCCTAGGCGGACCCACCATGCAATAATTTCCTAAGCCCCACTTATCTTAGCTTTTCCATTACGATATCTCACGTATTCGCAATTTAAGTCAGACAGTTTGTACTTGTCACATTCTCTGATAATTACGTTTCATTGATATAATGGAGGTTACCAGTCGCGATGGTGCAGAATCGATAATATCACATTTTACTGATGATTTACATTTATATTATGAGTCGGTAAACCATTTAGAACTTGATCATGATGGGAAATATTTTGAAGATTCAGGGAAATATCTTTAAATTAAGTTTACCATATTTGAAAAGAACAGCCACGACTGTCATCCTCAGTAGTTGCAACACTCAAACTAAAATCACGTCATATTGATGAGACATATGAATTTAATCCCTTCCCTCGCCCGAATTGTCAAATGGTCATATAAAACTCTTACTTAGTTGGACTTTTTAATGGTCCACGCGAAGATTGACATTCAACGTTCTAAGTTGAACACAAATAAAATCAGGTCGTTAATCGCAGGCCACAAAATACTTTGGAAATAACTAAAGTACTATAACGATCCTTCAATCGCCAATACAATGACGACGTCGTTGCCAGCCCCCTTGCTCGCACGAGCTAGTGCTGCGATGCAGTGACGTCATTTATGGAAGTACGCTGATTGTAGTTTGTGACTTAAAGGTTACAGGTCACTGTTTTAGTGGCTCGTAACAACAGCCGAGTAGTTCATCAAATATAAATCTTCTTATCTGTGTGTACACCATACGTCACTATGGTATGCAAATGTTCTTTTCTGAGTCGCGGCGACATTTTTTGAACTCAAATGAAGCTTTCTCTCAACCATGCATTCTTCGGAAATAACACCCATAATTTGAAGTTGAACTTGTTTAAGATTCCTTCCACGATAATGAATGCGATCAAAACGCCCCGGCCAAAAACCAGTACAACGTGATACTTGCATCGTTGCCATGGACACGCCCTTTGGTGATCACAACTTGTATAACGAGCATACCGAACTTTCGACGAGATATTAAACCTTTGCGCTTCAGGGGTCAATCAAAAGGTCAGGCTTGTTTTGATGATGTCATATGACGCGACATGATATTATGTCATACTCGACGTATGTGTAAAAAATTACGGAAAACTAATTTAGTTGGCTTTCATAAAACATGCTGCTTTTAACAAACACATATATACAATGGCCTTCCGACTTTATTTGTCACGGTGTTTCGTTTTTCTATAATTTCTTTGTTTATTTTAGACCAAATGGCACAATTTAACAGCGACTGCACGTCTTGATCAAATTAAAAACAAAATAAACAAACATAGAAGCAATTATGTTGCTTTATTTTGTGTGAAAGGTCACGATGAAAAAAAATAACTTCGGCGTTCCAATGGCGTGTGAATTTTTACGGTTTTTAATCGTAAAATAGTACCAGCTTATCTTCATCTTAACTAAAATTAAATTAGTTCGTACTAAATTGAGTATAGGTAACAATTAACCGCTTCGTTGGCACATTGCAATATAACGCTGCAAAATATTTCGCTAAGTTAAAATAAACAAACCTTCGCCCTCTCGAAACGGACTGTAGTTATGCGCCCTCTCCGGCGTTATGTTTATGTCGGATCGTTTCAGTATGCTAACTACAGTTTGAATTTCATATAGCGTTCAGACAAGTCTTGCGATTAATAGAGCCTGGAGTAATGCTAGGGAGAACATTTAGACCATGTTATTATTAGTTTCTATGGCAACAAATTCATGATGACGTATGAAGATGATACGCATGATATGCCACGAATATGGGAAATTAGCGTTGTTACGAATACGAGTGGTTGAATACATAATACACAAAATTCGTTTACAATACACGTTCCCTGTACGCTTTGCCCTCTACCGACGAACAGCTTCTGTGACGTCAAAATTATTTGTGTATTCGTTTTTAATTTATATGTAAGCACATCTCTCGAAAACATTATTTTTTACGGACGAACGATAACAGAGCAAAATAATGTCGACGTTATGAACGGCCATTTCACATATGTACGTCACACGAGCGCCCGTCGATAGAGGGCGCGACTTGTGGGAACGATGTATCGTGTACTGTTTCCCATTATTTCAAGTATACAACATGAAATCTAAACCAATGAATCACATGGACAGTTGGCAACCGAAAGTCCCACTCGCAGCTTGAAAGCTGCTCGTTTTTGATCGTTCATAGAATATCGCACACAAATGGCGAATCTATGGCCCTATTGAAAAATGTGTGCGTGACAGGAAATGAAAACATAGTGTCTGAATTTCTTTCTATAACGAAACGACTTCATACAACGTACTAAATATGCAATATGTGAACATTTTGTTAAGTATTCTTGAGTTGAAAATCGTTTCGCAAATAATATTTTCGAAGTTGAATGATAGGATAATTTAAAGCGCGGTAGTCGTCGCGCAGCGCGTGTTTGGAATTTCATGTAAATAAACAATGTATTTTACACGCGTTGTATACGTCGAACACGACGACTTTCGCCCTTTAATGTGTCGAACAGGGGTGGCTCTCGAAAGCTGTTGAATTTTGAAAGAAGAATGTTGAGCATTCCTATCATCCGCGTCTCTACAGTGAAACTATTCGCTTACCATTCGAAACAACGCTTATAATGTGCAACGGACATTGTTTCCAAGAATGAAGATCCACTTCGATCTCACATATCGAACTACATGTACATCGTCGCGACAGGCACCCGTGAATCACGTGCATTCCTTTTTTTTAATCAGATTGCAATCCAGTGTTTGCAATAGAAGTTATTCGACTAGATAATTAAACGAGCTAAATATTTAATTGCCCCGATGAAACAACATTTCAATGACGTAGATAGAAAATAACGATGTGCGTTTACACGTTTACTGATGTCGGGTGCGACGGGAGCTTTCGTTTCGTTTTAACGCAGTGCGCCCCCACGCTGTATAAAACCCAGTTTTCTACGAAATTTGCCAGTTGACGTACCGTTTTCCTGAAAAGGAAAAAAAAGTATGAGCGATAGTGTATGGTCGTAAATCATTGTAAAAAGTGATTTGCTGTAACATGATCGGTACACTTTCATCACGGTCTCTCGAGACGTATTATAATTGATTGTCATCATCCCTCCTTGTGTACTGAGAAACCCCACCCCCATTTTAACATGGTTGCAACCACGCGGTTGTAGAACTTCCCAGGCAATCGATGAGTCGCAGGTTTTACAGATACAGTACTGAGTTAAACGTTAGTAGTCGTTATCAATCCGCAAGTGTTTAACGTTATGTTTGCGGTGTCTGATTGAATGAGGCAAGACGTCAGTGAGCTACACAGATAAGACATGTTAAATGGTCTGAGGTCAACGGTCATATGGGGCTCCCCGTCATCACTACTACGAGAAGCATACAGAAACCGGATCAGTCCCTGTAATCATCCGGTCACTAAATGCGGAAAAGTTTAAAGTTTTGAATCAGATCGGAATTGATAGTAGTGAAAAAATATCGTGCTGTGTCGGTGAGTGTACTATGTGAAGGACACGACATTTCACTGGTACTATGTATTACACTCGACTGTAAACAAACAACTGCTCGTGCCACACCGGACACGTGAAACGTCCAGCAGCGTTTCCAAGGTCCAAATTCGTTTATTCATACGATTACTATTTCGAACAAAATAGCTAGTATGCTCGACTTTATCTCATCGCCAGGCGGGAATTCCATTCATGTGCTGGATTAATTGTGAAATCCAGCCAAGTGTGCTAAGCTAGGATCTCAAGTTCGCTAGGTTGTCGGCACGCAGATGACATCGAGGAACGCGGTAATCATCTCACCGTTGACAGCGAAGAAAGACGGCCGCTAAAAAGCTATAAAAATACTCGTATAACAAGAATTCTTGGGATCCATAAAGAGGAATCCGTTCCGCCGAGTTAACTGGTGCGGTATTCCACTTTCCCCCTGCTATTTTTGCATTTATTTCTCCTCGCTTGGCTAAGCCCAACTTCGTGAAAACAAAATGAGTGTGCCAGAGATTCTCGAAGCTGCAAGTGGAACGGAATCTCCCAAAACTCCCAGTACACCGACTGCTCCACGAAGCAGACATTCTTTTGCCTCGGACGATGCATCGGAGAAAGACCCATCGCCCCCTTCTACACCGAAGAAAGCGGTGCTGCAAAATCGTCACGCCAAGCTTCGGTTGACGAGAAGCTACGACCCAAACGTGACTCGACATCGGGCTGATAGACCACACAGCTGCCGGGAACCCGAACACAAACAGGACGTGACGGACGACAACGAGCATAGCATACTGCGACCAGTGAAGTCACTGACGCTCGGAGGGGGGAATATTTTACACCATATCATTGAATCGGACTCTCCCATCTCGTCGCCACGATCCAAAAAGAAATACAACTATCTGCAAAAAATGGCCATGATATTTCACGGCCCCAAGTCCCCGTCGTCTGCTACGTCCAGCCCTGTGTACAGCGACGAAGAATGCAGCGTCTATAGTGATTCCGATTTTTATTTTGACAATACCTCCCCTATTGCTTCACCCACAGTTATGCACAGGGGAAAATTGCCTTCGTCTGCAAGCAGTAGACTTATCCCCAAGAAATGGAGGTTCAAATCGTCGAGTTCCAAATTGGTGTCCTGTGCTACCGCCACTCTGTGGAGCTCCGAGGTAAGTTGCATAATTATTAAATCCGTATTCTGTAAACTACCGACCTCATTCGCCAAGATTCTCCATGTCAAGCATATATTTGTCATTAATGACTTATTTATTCTGTAGTAGTATCTGATGGTAAGCCCCAGTCTTAAATATCACTGCAAACTGAGATAATTTGTTTATATGTAACTTGGATATACTGTAGAATACTTTATTTTCGCTTGGAATTTATTTTCGCTATTTTCGCTGAAAGAATGAATCCGTGAAAATAAAATCCAGCGAATATACTTTTTTTTACTATATTTCACATTAAACTCATCAAAAATCAGTGAAAATAAATTCCATACAAAACGCCCAAAAAGCCTTTTCAGCAAAAATTAATTCCAGCGAAAATAAAGTGCCAATTTTATTTCACAGATTTAAGTAAAATAAGATATTCAACGATTATAGTTTATCTTGTTTTGAATCAATTCAGTTTTTCTACAGTGGTCACAAAAAAGCTGTTTCAAAAATATATTGTTTATAAAATTTGAAAACAGCTGTTGACCAATCAGAATGATTGTCATGACGTCGCCGAGGATGCTTATACAAGCACCTGAAATCAAATGGACAACCTAGTCTGCGCGTATGCAGCGAGAGTCAATCAATCGTATGCACATAACCAGAATCTTATTGGCTTTGCAGTACATTGTGGTACACCGCATGAATTATTTGTCTTTATTAGACTTTAATGAAATGTTTGATAAACGTGTTATAAAATTCTTATAAATTTTTGAAACAGCTTTTCTGAAACCACTGTACTGAATAAATCAACAAGTATTTAAAAAAAAAAAAGATCCTCATGGTTTGCAAGTAATTTATCACAAATCCATGAAACTGGATTCTATCAAGCACATTAGATGAAATCGGTGATTTGAGCGGAAATAACTTCCCGCTATTAAAAGCTTGCTAATCCACAAGTACCGTTAGATATCAGTACATTAAGCTTTGGTACAGATATGTGGTTGGACTCTGACTGCAGTGGTATCAACTCAGCAAGCACCAATAACATAAACAGTTTGTCCAGTTTAATTTTTATGTTTTTAAAAAAAACGTTATGTTTCTCTGGTATATAGGAATAGATAATCAGTTCATATTGTGGACTTAAAAGTTCTTTTTCGGTACTCTGTGTAGTGTGTTGCATAACTGTCATTTGTTAATGTGTGGATAACCTTCTCTACAGGGGAAATACTCACTGACCAAAAGATGTGTGTATAATTACTAAGTACCAGCATTTGTGTAGTTATCTATCTCTGATATCTTGTTAAACACGGTTACCAGTTAGTAGAACAGGAATGAATAATGATAACAGCTCTAATCTTGACCGGATTATCACCCTGATTCAAAGTAAATATATGTGCTCTGTCTTCTCTAAAGTGCACTGTCAACACAATAATAGATTTTTTGGGGAGGGGGGGGGGGGGCATCACTAGATTATAAATTGCTTTGTTAAAAGTCTTTTAACCCTTTCACCACCATTATTAACTCTTGTAACCATCCATCAAAGTAGTTCAGTATCTATTATTTTTTATGTTAGAAAATGTTAATTTAAACTTATGAACGTTAGTTTTGATATTAGAGAAAAAGTATACAGAATGTATGATGGATTTTGACAATTTTATTAATTAATAGAAATTCATCTATTAATAAAAATAATATTTTAACAAAAAGTTAATTTGATCATAGACCCTCTAAAAGAAGGATAGGAAACTGCGGTATTTCCTCTGATCTATGTAAGTTGTAATCATTTTAATCCCGTTTACCTAACGGTTCACGCATTAGCGATAATCTCAACGAAGTCTCGCAAGTTACGTGAAGAGGCTATGCAAAACACTGTGAGATTATGTAAATTACCAAATGTCTGTTCGTCATTCAAACACATTTTCAAAATGGAGGCGGGTGTATTTAGTGACGACGAGGGTCTATGATTTGATACAACTTGTACTCATTTGTTTAATGCCTAGACACAACAACCCGAAACCCTGGTAACCTAGCAACCATGAATGGTGGTAATCATCAAAAGACCCACCTTGATGCTTGATAATTTTGATGATGAAAACTGTTTGTAGTTTAAAAAGATTGCTTTGTAATCCAATAATGTTTTCAATGTCAATTCCAAACTCGAAATCCTCTAAGGCATTAACAAAAAGTTCTAGTTTAGCTCTCAGTGGATTTTTTTTTTTTACTTAATGAAGAACCATATAACGTTTATTTTTCAGATGAGTTCAGTATATGAATATTTCCGTTTGTAAGTCACATGAAAGTTACGGTGTTTTGTCAACTTAGTGGTTACATTCTATTTCATACTATCCAGTATGTATGTCATTGTTGATATTAATCCTCGTTTTGTTGAATAGGGGAGGGGGTAATGTGTACGAAGCGAGTCTACAAAATTCATCATTAATTTGACATTTGAACTCTCACTGCACACGAACAGTGACTTCTTTAACGTCAAAGTATACAAGTAAATGTACATGCCATCAGACAAATAAACTAACATGTATCATTTTCTCACTAAATTTGAGCTGTCTTTGCGCTCGGTTTAGATTCAATGTGTATATATTAGGTGATACTAGCTTTTGTTTCATGCCCTTTGGCACCTGTGCAAATCAGCAATCGGCTACTAATAACAGATTCTTCTGGGTCATTGAGTGAAACTGAAAGACCAATAAATGCAACGATCTCATTAACTAGTTTTACACTCAGCGGCTCCAGTAATGTACTCATTTAATATTGTTCGTTTTGTATCTTCCGTCATCAACTGATCTAATAATAGCATATTTACATATTGTAATTGTAAAAATGAAACGAATGCAAATTTATATTTTTTTTAATATTGTTGTTCTATACTGTAGACTAAATCCTATTTTGATTAAATCATAAACTAGAAATGTTGCGTTTTCAAGACACACAGTAGTATTTGTTGGATAAAAAATCTAAACCCTTAATACACATGTACAGTGATTGTTATTTTACGTACCAAAACAACCAGTACACATGTATATTAGAGATTGTCATTGTTTTATCATATGGATATTATAGAACAGCTACAAAAACAGTGTTTTCAAGTTACTGTAAAATACTTTATTTTCACTTGGAATTAATTTTCGCTATTTTCGCCAAAGGAATGATTCAGTGAAAATAAAATCCAACGAATATACCCTTTTTACTATATTTTACATTCAGCTTTTCAAAAATCTATGAAAATAAATTCCATACAAAACACTCAAAAAGTCTTTTCAGCGAAAATTAATTCCAGTTAATATAAAGTATTTTACAGTATCTTAAATTATAGCCCAATGTATCCATCAATAGAAAGCATCAGACGACAAATTATATTAAAAATGTTTTAACATTTGAATTGAGAATTTCTTTCTCTCATCAATATGTTGGTCAATTTCTTTCAATTTTATTTTTTCTCTCTAGCATTTTGCACATTTTTATGTCATTTTTAAAATATTTTTGGCAAAATGGATAAAAAATTTTAAAAAATGTGGAAAAAATATAATGCAGGATTATTTTGTTCAAAAGTTACTCTTTTGGTAAAGTGATCGTCAGATCTTGGTCCAAATTGTAGGTCCACTTTTTTTTCATGGTATTTTGCTTTGAATCTTCTAGTTCTAGTTTATTTTGAAGGGTTACAAAAAATATTGTCATTGAACAAAGGGTCTTAAATCTCAATTGATTTATATGAAAATTCTTGTTGAAATAGTAACAGCAAATAAATTGACAATGATGAAGAAAGGATCAAAAGTCAAGCAATAAATGTTATATGGAAAAAGTAGCAATTATTAGGCTGTACTGGATTTTCACTTTCATTTTATAACAGCAACACTGATTACCAATGAATAATATGTAGAAAATATCGACACAACATTATTAAGTATTATTTTTCAAGTGAGTGATGTTTAGTTATAATAGAATTTGCTAATATTGCTTGTTTTTATTGGTGTAAATTTTTTTTTTCCATTTCACCCTAACAGTATCAAAACTGACCTTCAAGAAAAAAATGTGATATAAAAATTATTGATTTTCTTCATTTTGAACATGTACACTTATAACACACTGTGGAGACGTGCAGACTCCATGGCACTAAGCGGAGACTCGCAGCCTCCATATATCGAGCTGTTTGCAAAGATAAAAGGAACTTGAAACGTTCTTAACCTGAAGGGATTTTAGTTTTTCAAATTATTTATAATTGAAATTTTTACTTTCTCAACTCTTAACATTGTATATTCCAAGAATTGAGCCCGATTTATCATTCACAGAGTACTATGTGTGTTCAGGGCCTGCTTGACTATAGTAATATCTTTTGTTATAGCTTTTGTCCATTATATTTTTTGTACTTGGACTTGTTTAAGTTGATGATTTTGTGAATTACCTGAAGCCAATCATATTGTACATTCTATCTGCCAGAAAATAAGGACAAATGGAATATTATATTTACCAAGACCAAACAAATAAATTGGTTTCTGGTCAGCATGTTTGAAAGGAACTAATGATTTCTTGTGTAGGATTTGAATTTGGGACGCACAAATAATTGATTTGTGATGTAACCAGGATTTGTTTACAACTAGCTGTTGTGATTCGATCTACATCATTGAATCAGAAAAATGTGTTTTGTCTGAATCAACCAAAGCACTTGGGGGGGGGGGGGTGTTGGTTATAACCGCTATATTTTACTTTGTAACTTGCTTTAAGGGTCAGCCATTTTAAATCATTGGGGGGGGGGGGGGGCTGTTGTACTGTTTACTGTAACCAGGACAATTTTGTTTCCATGGTATCTTGTCTGTACATTTTTATTTTCCTTAAAGTTTGCATACAATTGTCCCTGCAACAGCTTGCATGCAATTTTTTTTTCCTCTCTCAGTGCAATTTTTTTTTAATAAGCCCCATTATTTCAAATGTTCGACCCCTCATAAAACTGGCCAGTGTATATGTGATACGATATATTACGTACATTAACATCTTTTCTG